TTTTAAAACAGGGTTTCTCAACCTCAGCACTCTAGACATTGGGCACCAGATACTGTAATTCTTGGGTGTGAGGGTCTGTGCCTCACTTTGGAGCATCCCTGGCCTCTATCACCAGATGCCAGTAGCACCTGCTCCCCACTGTGACAACTAACAATGTCCCCAGACACTGCTGATTGTTCTCTGGGGGGCAAAAGTCACCTCCTCCAGAGCCAGGGTTTTAAAAGGATCACACCCACCCAGAGTGGTATTTTAGTTACATACACACTAGCACAGGACAACTGAATTTTTTTTGTATTAACATTGAGAGATTTGCTAGAACTCTCTCACCAGAGTAAAGCTCGCTGTAAATGTTCCTGCACTTCATACTTGTATTTAATAATCACATCCTAATGTGAAGGCCAAGACTTTTTCTTTGAGTCAGATCCTGCAGTGATTCATTTCCCGAGTACCTGTGAGAACAGCACCAGGCAGAGGTCACAGAGAAGCCCTGCTTATAGGCTAAAAGAAAATACCACAGGTATTCAAACCAACGAGTGTCACAGTGCACCTGACCAAAGCATGCCCCTGAACCACACCACTCATTTCACCACATGCAGACATACAAAAAATGCCTTGGACACTTCTTTAATATTACGCAGGAGTTTACAGTACCCACTTCCTACTTGTTTGCTTAAATTCACTGAGAGCCTCAAATATTTTCTTTTGGTGTGACTTTTCTTCATTCTCAGAACCCTGATGGCTGCCACTCGGAGACATGAATAGGCTTGATGACCTTGTTTGCTCTGTGTTATTGCCGAAACTCTCCATAAAGTATGCACCGTGTGTATGCACTTTATAACCTAGAACTCTTCAGACTGAAAGAGTCCTTTGATTTGTTACTGTGGCCCCTTCAGTGCTGAAGCACGGAGTAAAAGGGGGATTTCACAACCCCGCGTGCACTAAGCCACTACTTCACAGCAGAGTCAAGTTATTGAGAGTTTCTGCGTTTGACCCTCAATGGGTTTGAATGCAGAAATGAACAAGTTGGAGCACAGACATTTTTACATGTTTGGATCTAACCGGGAGTAAGGGTGTTTATGAGCAAAGGCTGACACATAATTTTGTAAGCCAAGAATCCCCTGGTTAGCATGAATGGAGGAGAACCCCAAAGCGGGCCGTCTGTATTGACGTGGCAACGCTCTTGCAGCTGTTCCACGGTTTTTCAACCTACTGTTCCCAGTTCATTAACATGGAGACATGGGTGATAAAAAAGGCACAGAAAAGAAGCTGCCTTATCCTTGACATCAGCAAGTGAAATAAGGAGGGAAAGTTTCACATGCAGGAGCTGAGCGGGAAGGAATGAGTGTGGGTGGACGGTGGAGGCCCCGGGCCTTGGTCTGAATCCAGCTCCAGCGCTGACTGGTTGTGAAATGTTTATGCGGAGATTAACCTCCCCAAGCCTCAATGACCTCATCTCAAAAATAGGCAGAAATAGGCGTAAGAGTGACAATGCTTCAGGATTGTTATGAAAACAAGAGCTAGATCAAGTGCCACATCTAGCAGGAAACTGCACATCATAAACACTTGGGGATGGTCATTATTGCAAGAGCAACGTGGATAAGTATCACGTTGACCATTAATTCCTGTGTCTTGTATTGACAAGGACCAACTCCCTTATTCCAGCCCAGAGCCACCCTTAAGTAGGCACATGTTTCTAAGATTTAAAAATAATATAAAACCTTCACAGATAATGTAAGGATTGAAGCATAACGTGTATGACAAATGTTAAAATGTATCTTGGCTACAGCTTAACCTGCTGATTGGAAATATGGAAATACTTTTAAACCTTAATAGAAAAAATGAAGGTTTTGACTACAATTTAAAATATATCAGTTGTTAATGAGATAAAAATCAGTTATGAGGCCGGGCGCAGTGGCTCATGCCTGTAATCCTAGCTCTCTGGGAAGCCAAGGCGGGCGGATCATTTGAGCTCAGGAGTTTGAAACCAGCCTGAGCAAGAGCGAGACCCTGTCTCTACTAAAAAAAATAGAAAGAAATTAATTAGACAACTAAAAATATATAGAAAAAAATTAGCTGGGCATGGTGGCGCATGCCTGTAGTCCTAGCTACTCGGGAGGCTGAGGCAGGAGGATCGCTTGAGCCCAGGAGTTTGAGGTTGCTGTGAGCTAGGATGAAGCCACGGCACTCTAGCCTGGGCAACACAGTGAGACTCTGTCTCAAAAAAAAAAAAAAAAATCAGTTATGAGGGAAGCCAGCATCAAGTATTCATACTGAGAGTCAGCAAAGTGTCTGAGAGGGTTGAGTCAGTTACCACCAGGTGTAGACCATCCCCACTTGGACACTTGGGTAACACCCATTGCACTAAGAATGTAGTGTCGCAACTCCTCATGGCGCTGGTCTCCCAGGCCCTGACGCATTAACACATTAGGATGCTACCACCTGGTTCCTTGAAAAAGGTGAGCTCTTCCTGGCTTCAGGGTCTGTACACATGGTGTGGAGGTTGCCTTTCCACACAACCTCTTCTTCCCTTCATCTTTTCCTGAGCTTGAATTTGACCTCATGGACCTGACCCACCAAAGTTTTCCACCCATTAGGTTTTCCACCCGGCTGGAAGTCCACCTCTTTTAATCATTTATTTGCACATGCTGTGGCTTTGTTAATCATCCTTCCTGAGAGGTAAGCTCCTAGCTACCAGTCTACGGTATTCATCATTTAGCTTTAAGCATTTAGAGAGTGTCTGGGACATAGTAGGTGCTCAATAAATAACTGAATTAAAGAATGAAAAACTAAAATAGTTTAAAAAGAAATAAAAGCAGGTGAATGTCTATGTCTTGAGAGTTGACCAAATTGAACAGATATTCTTTCAGTTTCAGACTGTTCAATACTTGCTCATTGTCTAGGGCTAAAACAGTTACAGTCAACCTGACTTTTCACTTTTGTCGCTATTCTTGTGCATGCTATTTCTTTGTTTTCCGTATACCAGGGAGTCAGGAGCCACCATGGCTCACTGGATCATTTAAATATAAAATGTTCTGTTTGGTTTTCAAAGCTCTGATCATTTTGCCTTTATTCTATCTATCCAGCATTTTCTACCTGTAAGTCTTCACACACCTTCCTTTCTGGAGAGAGCAGGCTATGCTCCATGGATGTGATGAGAGCTCGTAGCATGTGATTGACCAAGGCCCTGATTCAGCTTCCTTCCACTGGTCAGGACCTTGAGCATAAGTGAGGGGAGAGCACATTCCAGGCAGAGAGAATGAGTGGGCCCAAGAACTGAAACATGAGCCAATATGGAGCATTAGGATAAACACCCATTGTCTGTAGTGCGATCTGAGTGCATGTGTCAAGGGACAGGGAGAGATGATAATCTGGGGAGAGGGCTAGGAAGCTTCAAGTCAAGACCAACCTGGGAGACAGTGCTGGAGAGTCAGACCTGCCCTCCTCCCTTTCTTCCTTCCCTCCTTCCTTCTTTCTTCCCTCTTTTCCTTTCTTCTTTTCCTCCTTCCCTTCCTTCCTTCCTTTTCCCTCCCCTACCCCCTCCTTCTTACCTTCTTTCCCTCCTCTCTTCCTTCCATCCTTCCCTTCTTCCTTTCCCTCCTCCCTCCCTTCCTTCCCTCTTTCCTTCCCTCCTTCCCTCCTTCCATCCTTCCTTCCCTTTCTCCCTCCTTCCTTCCTTCCCTCCTTCTTTCCTATTTTCCTCCCTCCCTCCCTGCCTCCTTTCCTACTTCCTTCTGTCTTTAGATTTTAGGCAAAAGCAATTTATTCAAGAGTTTTAAGCATGTAAATGACATGATCTGTCTTTTCATGAAAAAAGACTGAACAATGATGAGAATACATAGGTTAAAGTTCTATTCTACAGCTTTCTGGCTGCATGACTCTGGGTAACCTTAATTTCCTCTCCAGCAAAGTAGGGCTAACATCTCTGCCTACTGAGAGACTGGTTATTGGCATCAGGGGTGATAACACACTGTTCTGCTGTATTTAAACTATAATAAAGCAAATCATGCTTATTATTTCTTTTGAATAATTTGTTAGACTGAAACTTTAGAAAGGTCTAACTGTAAGACAGTCAGAATCTGCTATGTACCAATAGAGAACAAAAGGAGCACACATATATATCCTTGACGTAGAATCAAAAATCCCCCAGTAGGCTGGAGCTTTCTTAAGGTTCCTGGGGAAGCAAGAGCCAATCCCAGGTACACCTGTGCAGTTTGGGGATGGGAACCTGGCAAAGGTGTGCAGGGGGAGAGGCCGCATCTGACCCTGTGATGGGCAGTTGTATGTGATTTGCAAACTCTGGTTACTTGTCTGAGGATTGTGCAGTGGCTATGGGAAAATCTACCTCAATTGAACATTGTTCCAAAGCCCTAGCATTTGTTATATTTTACTTTAATAATAAAACATGGTTTTTAATAAGTCTCCATTTCGCCCTCTAGCTGAATGTGGACACTGGCTTCTGTGTTCATATATCTCTGAACACTCAATATAGGACATATATTAAATATTTAAGTAATTATTTTAGTGTCTAAAATGCAAAAGTAGGGTTTTGAAGTTTAGCATTCCAAAACAGATAATAAAAGTTTTATAATAATATTGAAAATACATTTCTTATTTTTTCAAAGCCATGAGATTATCTAAGTCTAACCTGATAATTCAGGAAACTTCTGTAACATAAATCTATTGCCTTCTCAAGATAGGCAATGCTATGATGACAAGTTATTTGACCTAACTTGACTCAAAAATTTTGCATGCATGTATTTGAAAATATCAAATTATGAAGTTGATTTTTACTGATTAATATTTGCCTTTTTATTTGACAGTGTTGTGGCAAAATTTGGTGAATACTATGTAGACCAAAAATTTTATCAAAGATTATAAATTTATTCCAAATATAATTGATGTTTAATTTGATGAGTTTTATTATTTTCTTCCAATGTTTTATTCAGTTTCTTCAGTGCATGTTATCAGAAAAGAATAATATTTTCTAAAATTTATTTTAGGTTTTGAAACTAACATGAACCTAAGTAGCCGGGATGATCCTAGTACATCAGAAATTGCTTCAGAGACTCAAGATAGAAATGCAAATAACCATGGAATTCAATTATCTAACTCACTATCTAGTGCTATAACTGCTGAAAATGGGAATTCTGTCTCAAATGGTAAGCACTTTTTAAACTCAGAAGTAAATGGATAAAAGTTTTAAGCTGCATCAACTTTCTAGAAAGAATGGATTTAAATTATAAAAACGAAGTAGGCATTAAAAACTGGAAAACAATATAAACTGTGAAGCTTCACTATAGGTATTATTGTCAGCATATTATTGTTTACATTAAAGAATTAGAATTGTATTCACTATGTGTTGACTTTTCAGAAATTTTATGGAGTATTGTTCTATAAGAATCAGTATAAAATGAGTGTTATACTAAGCAAGCGAGGAGATGGATTCTCTACCAATATTCTTAATTTTTAAAGGTATTCATAACTAAAAAATGTGAAGGAAAATAACATTGGGAGAATGGTAAATGCCAAACTGACTTTAAATATTTTAAGTGCATCATTGAGTGTATCATTTAGACATTGGCTTGGCTGCATGTATCCCGAGGTATGTAATAATGGCTTAAACAAATATTTTCTCTCACTATAAAAGCAGACAAGGGCTTCTAATAACAGTTGATGGGAGAATTCACACCAACCTTTTCCTGAGAAGATCCAGCAGAGCTGGACAAAACATTTTTTTTGGTTTGTTTAGTCTGATTAAAAGTACTGGAGAACTATCGAGACAGTGAATTACTGGGAAGCAACTGAAGACATGGGGATGGGATGAGGTGTGACCCCAAGCCAGGAAGCGCATGTCCTAGGCCTACCTCCTCAGACACTGGGGCCTGTGCTTCTGATGCCTCCTAGAACCATAAGGACAGAGAATGAGTCTAGGGCCTGCCAAGGCCTTGGAGTGGGGCCTTGAAGTGCCCATCCCTAGAGTCAGAGTGAACCAGAATCTGGAACCACAGCCCAACTATGAATTATCTCAACCCCAAAGTTGGATTGAGGTGTTCCAGAAGTAACAGGGCCCACAGGTACCTGGGAGAAACACATGCAATTCTATCTCTAAGGACAATAATAGCATTCTGGGCTTCAAAATATTCTTTTAACTGCTTTCCCAATACAATGTCCAACACACAATAAAAAATAGCCAGGCACATGAGTGCAGAAAATAAGATGAAAAATTACAAGCAGAAATAGCAGTCAATTGCAGTATACATACAGGGACTCAAAAGATTGGAGTTCAAAGGCATATACCTTAAAATAAGTATGTTTACTCTGCCCCCAAAAGACAACAGAATGAGAATTTCGGCAGAAATGGGAAACCATAAAAAAAATCATCAGGAAATTCCCAAATTGGAAAATACAGTAATAAAATGAAGTACAACTGAGGATGAAATTAAATTTAATTGGGCATGTTGATTAAAACAAAACAAAAATAAATAAAAAACAACTGGGGAAGTGGAAGATAAGTCAGAAAATCTCCAGAATGAAACACACCAAAGCAAAAGAAAAGAATGGAAATTCCAAAAAATGGTTTAGAGTAATGGTTTAGAGTGAGAAGGATAATTGGAATCTTAGGAAAAAAAGAGAGAGTACAGAAAAAAGATTTGGTGAAAAATGTTAGAGAATTTTCCAACACTGATGAAAGAGATCAAGAAACAGATTTAAGTTGGCAGTTTTTTATAAAGTTAAAATACACTTTCCGTGTCATCCAGCAATCCTACTGCTCAGTATCTACTCAAGAGAAATGAAAACATTCTCCACGCAAACACCTGTATGCAAATGCTTGTGGTGACTTTATTCATAATCACATACAACTGGAAATAAATCCAATGTCCTTCAAATGGTGACTGAATTGTGTTAGTTATCCATCTCTGTACAACAAATTACCTCCCAAACATACAGGCTTAATGTAACAAATGGTTATTATTTCGTAGTTCCTGTGGGGCAGGAAGCTGCGTGTGCTTTAGCTGGGTGCCTCTGCTTTAAGGTCCCTCCTGAGACAGGAAGCAAGCTGTCAGCCAAAGCCCTAGTCATCTTGAGGCTGGAGTGGGGGCTTATCCAGTCTCAAGGTCACTCACATGGCTGTTGGCAGGCTGCAAACCATTCACATCCAAGTCCACTCACATGGGCCTCTCCATGGGGTGGCCTCACAGCAGGGCAGCTGGCCTCCCCGAGAGCCAGCAACTCAAGAGAACACCCGTTAAAAGCCACAGTCTTCACATGACCTGATCTTGGAAGTGACACCCAGTTCTCTGTGACAATTGACTTGGTCACTAAATGCTAGCCACGCTCAATGGATGGGGATTCCTTGAGGGTGTGAGTGTCTGAAGGTGGGTTCACCGGGGCGTCCCGCAGGCTGGACTAGCACCTGGACAAACTCTGCAATAAACAACAGTGATCGATTGTTAAACACAGCAAAACGGATGGCTCAAGGGCACTGTGCTGAGTGACAAGAGTCAGGATCAAAAGACTGTGATTCTGCTTCTAGGACATTCTAGAAAAAGCAAAGCAATAGTGACGGAAAACAGATGAGTAGTGGCCCAAGGGGAGAGGTCATGGCATAAGATGGAATGCAAAGGGACACGTGGGAATGCAGTTATGGAAATATAAAATATAAAATAAGTTATTGAAATATAAAACGAACAACAAAGCAAAAATTGGTTCTTCAAAAAAATTAAAACATGGATAATACTCTTGCAAGGGTGACAGAAATAAAGAAAGTGAGCGCAAATAAATTCTAGAGATGAAAAGGGGATATCATCACAGATCTTGCAGAAATTAAAAAATAAGAGAATATTATAAGTAGTTTTATGCCAAAATAAATTTGTAAATTTACATGTACACAGTTCTCAAAATAAATAAACTAATGAACCTGGAGAAAAGAAACAGGAAAGTAAATAATACCATAAATATTTAATTAATTGAATTTGTAGTTAAATACTTCCCTGCAAGGAAAACTTGAGACCCAAATGGTTCCTCTAGTAAATTCTCTCACAATTCCAAGTATGAAATAATGCCAGTGTTACACAAATGCTTCCAGAGAGTAGAAATAAAGCAGGAGAAAGAGAAAGAAAACAAAATTCTTCCAACTTGCATAAGTAGCCACTTAATTTATGACAAAATGAGCATTGTGAGGAGCTGGGGAAAGAATAATCCACTACTTTCCATGAAACTAGACCCTCCCTAATGCCACACGCACTAAACAATTCCTGGGAGATTGTAAATCTGTACATCAAATCTCAAATAATACAATTTATAGAAAAAAATATAGGAGATTTTTTTTTTTAACCTCAGGAAAGAAAAAGAAAAAAAGACTTCTTAAACAGGATGCAAACAAGTACTAGCTACAAAAGAAAAAGGAAAAACATAAATTGGGTGAAAATATTTTCAACACATTTCACCAACAAAGGGTCATATTCGGAGTTTACTTAAATTAAAAACAAAAGACATCTGAATAGAAAATTGGGCAGAAGACCTGAATAAGCACTTAAATAAATATTTTTAGTGGAGTTCAACCTCATTAGTAATTAGAGAAATGTAACTTAAAACTCCAATGTGATACTACTACTCTCCCCATAGAATTACAGAACTGATGGCAGGGACGGGCGCCCGAGAAGGGATTGTCACAGAAGTGAGGACAGCGACGTAATCGGAGGAGAAAGAGCCAATGGTGATTTGGAGAGAGAATGATGAGAGCTTTTTGAGAGCTGACAGTGTTCTATTTCTTGACCTGTGTGGTAGTTACAATCCCACAATTAAAAAAAATAGTAATAATTTAGAGAGAAAGAGAAGAAGGGCGGGAGGGAGGGATAGAGGGAGAGAACTTCCCTTCAACATATTTCACTTTTCTGTGTTTTGAGTCAGAAGGCAAAAGCTATGGCTTGGGAAATGATGTTAGAAAACAATACAAAATACTGTGAGTATTCCTTTAAATATTAAAACAAAATCAAAAACCAATGGAACAAAAACCTTCTAGACCAAAATGGAAATGTTTATGGAATATACTAGGTGAAATTAATAATATAAATTAAATCTTTAGGAATATCAGGCTTCTAAACTTCATGTTACAAATAGTGCATCTATCCAAATTCTGTAGCACAGAGTTATATGTTTTCCCTTAAATACTTACAGGAAACAGATTTTAAAATAAAACTAGTTCTGTGTTGTCATTAATTAAAGACCACTTGAAAATCTCAAGAGTTACGTCACAAAAGGAAAATTATTTCAATTGGGAATTTAATCTTTCAAAGCAACTTGACACATTTACTCTGATCTACTTTTGTGAACACCATGAATTTCTCACCCCATGATTATTAAAATATCCATCACAATGCCCTGTATACCTAGGCCCTCTGTAAGCATTTACTGATTGAAACAATGTTGCATATTACATATGAACCAGTAAATCCTATGCAGAGGGCAGAGTCAGAAAAATTGTCCTAAGTCAGTATTATAAAAATTAAATAAACATTACATATGTGCAGCATATGATATATACATAATCATGATAACCCTTAAAGCAATTAATAGTATGGATTCATAATTTACAAAGTACGGTCAATGTGCTTTCTAAATAAAGGCACAAGATAAAAATAAGTGTTTAAAATAACTTAAAGTTCCTATTGAATCAGAAATAGTGCTATTTTCTAGGAAACGATTTCTCTTTTGAATGCCAGTATCTGCATGCTACCTCTGCTTCCCAGAAATAATTATCTGTTTGTTCATTTGTTGAAATATAGTTATGTGTGGGTAATTATAGCTATCACTTACTTTAATTGCCATCCTTTTACTGATGTGAACACAGACTTAGATCCTTTTTTGTACACTTAATTATTCCCTGGACTTGTGGTTATTTATCATTAGATTAGAGAGCAGTTTTTAGTGTAAGAACATTTTAGCTATATCGAACAAAATATTGTGAATATAAAGTTGTGTATTTTGTGGTGAAATAGAGACATAAAAAATTCTATCTAAGCCACTTTATGTTCAATATGATTTTCTTTCTTGCTGTTCAATGAATATACATATTATGGCTGGAAATCAGAAAAAGTGGCAATTAAAGAATGCAGTCATTATGTGTGAGATTACATTTATCATTCTGTGCAGATTGTCT